CATATTCGTATTCGAGCAAAAAGTCAAGGCATGGCTTTATCAATGTAAGTTTTAAGTTTGATATTTTTTTTTTTCGAAAAACAATATATAATTATTTTTAGGGGTGACAAGATCAATATGACACAAAAAACTGGTTTTAAAAGTGTTTCATTAACACAAAAATAAAATATCTTCATTTTTAGTCTTATTTGGAATTTATCTTGTTCATTTTGTTTTTTTTAAAAATATTTCTCTAATATTAAACCAACTTAAGTTTTATGTAAGCAAAAAACAAATATTATGAAATAGATTTTTTAAAAACAACAAAAAATAAAATAAAATAGATGTCCAGAAATATTTTTATATTAATTTACTATTAGAAAAGAAAATGTTTAAATGAATTTTTAATGTTTGTACAACTTGAATTGTTAATCTTTGGGTTAAGCAAGTATTGATTGACGATTGTTGAGAAATTATGAGTTAAATACGAATTTATTCAAGCATAAAAAATATATGATTAAACTGATAACAATATTGAAAAATCTTTACGATAAGAAAATTAAATAACTTTCACTTTGTTTGAAATCTTTTGAGATAATCTTTCATCAATAATAGAGGAGAATTCGAAATTTTCTTTCATAACAAAATCGTTAATGAACACTGGGATAAATTGTCGACATTCAATTCGTATTGTAACTTTTCACGGGTTCGGAGATGATTTGAAACTTGCGTGCACAAAAACCTCAAGTGGATATTTAGAAATTATTCTCATATACATCTTTGTCCATCGTATTGCTATGAAATGAATAAAACCTCTAGTTCAGATATTTTATCTTTTCTTGACAAATTGCTATGCAAATTTTTATTTTTATTAGGATGTGGATGTGGGCGGGTATTCATCTCACGTGAACACCCACACCCACCCACACCCACCCACACCCCACATCCACACCCAAATGATAGAAAATATGGTTACATTCACATTGGTAACACTTGAGGACAAACCATAGAATGCTCAACTGAAGAATATTTTACAGTAATTGAATCAGAAAGAGAAGAAAAATGTGAAAGACATGCTAATGATGTGTATTGCGTGTAATATTCGAGAGAGAAACAAGAAGATCACTACTATTCCTACTGAAAATGTTTGTAAACGATTTGATCTGATTCAAAACAACTCCTCTTATTTTTCGAATCTTCTAAGCATGTTGACGATGCTAGTTCTATTGCAGGTTGACAGGTTATGACCGCAGTAACTTGTAACCTGCCCTGTAAAAAATCTTCTAACCGTGCCTTACCCTGTGACACTTGTAACCTGCCCTGTCCTATCAAGGTAGGGCACCTTACTCATGCCCCACAG